GCCCCCGCTCACGCAATCCGGCAGGGCAGAATCCGCGCGGCAGACGATGGTCAGCGGCCCCGGCCACAGCGCGGCGCCGATCGCGCGGGCCAGCTCGACAACCCGCCCATCCTCCCCCGCATCCCACAGCTGAACCGCCCGTTCGAGGCCGTCGACGTGGCAAATCAGCGGGTCCGTGGCGGGCCGCCCTTTAACCTTGTAGATCGCGCGTACCGTCTTCTCCATCAGGGCGTTGCCCCCCAACCCGTAAACGGTCTCCGTCGGGAAGGCAACCAGCTTGCCATCCGCGAGAAGTCGCGCCGCCAGCTCAAGGTTGGCCTCGGTTGGCTCAAGAATGGAATCCATATTAAAGCCTTGTGGATTTGCCCCCCTAAGAAAAAAAATGTTTTACTGTGTGACCAAATGAAAACACTTGTGAAAGGGAGACTTGTTAGAGGACAAATAGCTATTGTGGTCTCAATATAACACAACTCATTATGCATCGGTTGGACGTTATAGTTATAAACCCCATTTAAATATATGATGGATATTCCAGATGCTCTACAAACAAGTCTCTACACTTGTAGGACCATATAGCCCAGAGTACAGAAAAAAATACCTAATGTTGTAATAACATATCTATATCTATATATAGATATAGATATATATTAAATAATACCTTGTCATATTTATGTTCTACTTCAGCTAACTAAAGCACACATTACCACCCACTGAAGTCTTGATGATCAGTGTGGGAATGCCTTCGGAAACCGCGCCCGCGTGTTTGGCCGTATGACCTCCGCCTACGGACCATAAAATTTTCGTTGTATGATTCAAAAATCTGCACAAGCTGAGAAGGTACCTTGATATTGCACTGCTTTAAATATTTAATCAGATCAGCAGATATGGCACCATCGCCTTGGCTTACAAATGTATACGCGTCACCCGAACGCCCTGCCCTGCCTGTTCGGCCAATGCGATGACAATAACTATCGATATTTTTCGGAATCTGGAAGTTCACAACACAAGTCACGTCAGGAATATCGAGACCCCTTGAGGCGATATCGGTAGCGACCAGAATACGAAACTGATTGCTTTTAAAGCGATTTAGAACGTCATCGCGATATCTTTGAGAGAGTCCACCATGAATTACTCCAATGTACATGGGTTCAATGTTTAGAGCGTGGCACAACGCGCGTGCTGTCTGTTCCGTGTCGGATTGTCGCTCGACAAAAATAATAACTTTGGCAGTATTCTCATCGATCTTCTTGGAATTAATCAGCTCAACAATCATATCGATTCGATTATTTAAGCTCTCAGCAAAGAGAATAGTCTGCTTTATATTTTTGTTGACTTGCAACCCAGTCCCTGAAGTTCCAGCACGAATTAAGAGGCGATTATCCGAAAGATATTCGTGCACTAATCTCTGAACAGATTCCGGCCAAGTGGCTGACCACATAACTTTTTGAATTTGTTTCTTATC